TATATAACAAAGTATTGAGAAACTTTTGTTATTGACCAAATACTTATTTTCCACCATAATTTGCAAATAAATTCATAAAAAATCCTACAATGTGATTTTCTGGATTTGTTTTCCTCATTTTGTCTGTCATAGTTGACGTGTACCTATGATGAAAATTACAGGCCTCTCTCATGTTTTTAAGTGGGAGAAGTTGCACAATTGGTGGCTGACTAAATACTTTTTTTCCCCACTGTAACTCCAAATCCAACTCCAGCCCCAGCAAAATGCAACGTGTAGTCAGTGTATCTTCTCCAGAGCCTCCCCATCCCCCAGCCCCTAGCACCCAGCCCCCAGGCCCTAGCACCCAGCCCCCAGGCCCCTAGCACCCAGCCCCCAGCCCCTAGCCCCCAGCCCCTAGCACCCAGCCCCCAGGCCCCTAGCACCCAGCCCCCAGGCCCTAGCCCCCAGGCCCTAGCCCCCAGCCCCCAGCCCCTAGCACCCAGCCCCTAGCACCTAGCCCCCAGCCCCTAGCCCCCAGCCCCTAGCCCCCAGGCCCTAGCCCCCAGCCCCCAGGCCCCTAGCACCCAGCCCCCAGCCCCCAGCCCCTAGCACCCAGCCCCCAGGCCCTAGCCCCCAGGCCCTAGCCCCCAGCCCCTAGCCCCTAGCCCCCAGGCCCTAGCCCCCAGCCCCTAGCCCCCAGCCCCCAGGCCCTAGCCCCCAGCCCCTAGCCCCCAGCCCCTAGCCCCCAGCCCCCAGCCCCTAGCCCCCAGGCCCTAGCCCCCAGCCCCTAGCCCACAGCCCACAGCACCCAGCCCAGAACGTCCTTCATCTCGTTCCCCCCTCGAAGGCCACAGATGTAGAGGCGACCCAAGCCTCAGCCCTTCACCAGTTCTCCTCTAGCCACAGCCCAGATGACAGCCCTGCTATCCACAGCTCTCCTCTAATCGTTGGCTGGGTCTCCTCTAGCCACAGCCCAGATGACAGCCCTGCTATCCACAGCTCTCCTCTAATCGTTGGCTGGGTGAGCCTTTTCACTCTACAGTAGGGATGGTTTTCACTCTGCCTCTAGGGAGGGAGGGAGCAACACCGCTTTCCAGGAATAGGACAGGGGGGGAACAGAGTTTAACAGGATGGCCCAAGGCCCAGTCCTCTTAATCCCCTAATGGCCTGCACAGTAAATGAGGTTGTGTTCCGAGTTTGTACCTTGGTTTATCCCAGTATTGTCTGTGTCTCTAGTTCTCCCATCCTGATGAATTGAAGTGGTGACCCCAGTGGTCCTGTTCTGATGAGGAGGACTCAGACATCTGGCTGCTCCAAAATCAGATCCCACTCTGGGTTAACCAGTAGTGATAATACTATATACAGTGCCTTCGGAAAGTATTCAGACCCTTTGACTTTTTCCACATTTTTGTTACGTTACAGCCTTATTCTAAAATGGCTTAAATAAATACAAATCCTCAGCAATCTATACAGAATACCCCATAATGACAAAGCGAAAGCAGGTTTTTAGAAATGTTTGCCTCGATCCTGACTAGTCTCCCAGTCCCTGCTGCTGAAAAACATCCCCACAGCATGATGCTGCCACCACCATGCTTCACCGTAGGGATGGTGCCAGGTTTCCTCCAGACATGACGCTTGGCATTCAGGCCAAAGAGTTCAATCTAGGTTTCATCAGACCAGAGAATCTTGTTTCTCATGGTCTGTCCTTTAGGTGCCTTTTGGCAAACTCCAAGCGGCTGTCATGTGCCTTTTACTGAGGAGTGGCTTCCGTCTGGTCACTTTAGCATAAAGGTCTGATTGGTGGAGTGCTGCAGAGATGGTTGTCCTTCTGGAAGGTTCTCCCATCTCCACAGAGGAACTTTGGAGCGCTGTCAGAGTGACATTCGGGTTCTTGGTCACCTCCCTGACCAAGGCCCTTCTCCCCTGATTGCTCAGTTTGGCCGGGCGGCCAGCTCTAGGAAGTGTCTTGGTGGTTCCAAACTTCATCCTTTTAAGAATGATGGAGGCCACTGTGTTCTTGGGGACATTCAATGCTTCAGAAATGTTTTGGTACCCTTCCCCAGATCTGTGCCTCGACACAATCCTGTCTCGGAGCCCTACGGACAATTCCATCGACCTCATGGCTTGGTTTTTGTTCTGACATGCACTGTCAACTGTGGGATATATATAATAATACTACCCACTTACCAATGTTATGAAGTTGTCTTTAGCTAGCCCAGATAGGTTCCCAATCTCCCATCCTCATAACTAGCTACCAAGAAGCCATTTCAGGCTATCAATAACGTTAGAGTAGCTGGCTTGTCTAACTATAGGTATCTGCCAAAATAAAGGAAACACCAACATAAAGTGTCTTAATAGGGCGTTGGGCCACCACGAGCCACCAGAACAGCTTCAATGCGCCTTGGTATAGATTCTACAAGTGTCTGGAACTCTATTGGAGGGATGCGACACCATTCTTCCACCAGAAATTCAATCATTTGGTGTTTTGTTGATGATGGTGGAAAACGCTGTCTCAGGCGCCGCTCCAGAATCTTCCATAAGTGTTCAATTGGGTTGAGATCTGGTGACTGAGACGGCCATGGCATATGGTTTACATAGTTTTCATGCTCATCAAACCATTCAGTGACCACTCGTGCCCTGTGGATGGCGGCATTGTCATCCTATGGGGGCATAGCCATGGTAGCCAAAATAATGGCCTGCCGAGCATTTTTATACATGACCCTAAGCATGATGGGATGTTCATTTCCATTATTTTGGCAGTTACCTGTATCTTAGCTGGCGTGCCTGCTGGCAAGGTTGGTAGACTTTAGAAAAGCAAGCAATAACTAAATGTGCTTAATAAGACTCACATTCCTTTCAATATTTTACCCAGATTTTAGCAGAGATGCAGAGAAGCACATTTCGTTTCTTTAAAAAACAGAAAGACCAGTCAGGAGGACACAGACAGCTGAAGAGGTATACTGAGATATGAAGAGAAATATACATGTCTTTGACATATAATTAAGCTTAATGATTATGGCTCTAGATTGAATGAAAATGGTTTCAGGTGTTTGAAAAATGCAAAATTGTGCCCACTCTGAGTTTTGGGGTGCCCAGTGTCGAAAAGGTTGAAAATATGGAATTATGATTATTTAGATGAATGATTAAAGCCAGTGATCTGATAGGTTCTGGAGACACATAGACATGGATTGAAGTCAGTGGCCAGGTGTTCATCAGTTAGGTGGACTTGGAAGGACCCATATGCTGCGATGGCCAGGTGTTCATCAGTTAGGTGGACTTGCTCCAGGGATGTTACCATGGAGATGCAGGGTTCCCATTGGAGATGAATGAGAGGGACTCACGCCCGGTAGCTAACTGTACGCTGTGTGTGTTTCAGATGGATCAGCTGTCAGACGAGGAGCTGGACCACTCCGAGGGAGGAGAGGAGGAGGACAGTGACAAAGAAGATCAGGATCTAGACAAGATGTTTGGAGCCTGGCTGGGAGAGCTGGATAAACTCACACAGGTAACTAAACCTAACTCACACTGGTAACTAACCCTAACTCACACTTAACTAACCCTAACTCACACTTAACTAACCCTAACTCACACAGGTAACTAACCCTAACTCACACAGGTAACTAACCCTAACTCACATTTAACTAACCCTAACTCACATTTAACTAACCCTAACTCACACTGGTAACTAACCCTAACTCACACAGGTAACTAACCCTAACTCACACTTAACTAACCCTAACTCACATTTAACTAACCCTAACTCACATTTAACTAACCCTAACTCACACTGAACTAACCCTAACTCACACTGGTAACTAACCCTAACTCACACTGGTAACTAACCCTAACTCACACAGGTAACTAACCCTAACTCACACTGGTAACTAACCCTAACTCACACAGGTAACTAACCCTAACTCACACTTAACTAACCCTAACTCACATTTAACTAACCCTAACTAACCCTACCACTAACCCTAACCACACTGGTAACTAACCCTAACTCACACTGGTAACTAACCCTAACTCACACTGGTAACTAACCCTAACTCACACTGGTAACTAACCCTAACTCACACTGGTAACTAACCCTAACTCACACAGGTAACTAACCCCAACTCACACAGGTAACTAACCCTAACTCACACAGGCAACTAACCCTAACTCACACTGGTAACTAACCCTAACTCACACTGGTAACTAACCCTAACTCACACTGGTAACTAACCCTAACTCACACTGGTAACTAACCCTAACTCACACTGGTAACTAACCCTAACTCACATTGGTAACTAACCCTAACTCACATGGTAACTAACCCTAACTCACACTGGTAACTAACCCAAACAGGTAACTAACCCCAACTCACACAGGTAACTAACAGGTAACTAACCCTAACTCACACTGGTAACTAACCCTAACTCACACAGGTAACTAACCCTAACTCACACTGGTAACTAACCCTAACTCACACTGGTAACTAACCCTAACTCACACTGAACTAACCCTAACTCACACTGGTAACTAACCCTAAATCACACTGGTAACTAACCCTAACAGGTAACTAACCCCAACTCACACAGGTAACTAACCCTAACTCACACTGGTAACTAAGCCTAACTCACACTGGTAACTAACCCTAACAGGTAACTAACCCCAACTCACACAGGTAACTAACAGGTAACTAAGCCTAACTCACACTGGTAACTAAGCCTAACTCACACTGGTAACTAACCCTAACTCACACTGGTAACTAACCCTAACTCACACTGGTAACTAACCCTAACTCACACTGGTAACTAACCCTAACTCACACTGGTAACTAACCTTAACCCTAACAGGTAACTAACCCTAACAGGTAACTAACCCTAACAGGTAACTAACTAATATATTATGTGGACATTCAGTGATGTTATATGGATTATTTTGTGACCATTTATATTCAGCATTATAACTACCTTCTTAGTGGGTGGTATTTTCATATGATTGTGGGAAATATGGTCTGTCTCTCCCCTGTACAGAGTCTGGATGATGGGAAACCAGAGACGGTCCAGAAGGCCCCTCAGAAAGCTCCTCTCAGACAGGAGACCAACAGTCTGTTCTCTCCCCCTGTACAGAGTCTGGATGATGGGAAACCAGAGACGGTCCAGAAGGCCCCTCAGAAAGCTCCTCTCAGACAGGAGACCAACAGTCTGTTCTCTCCCCCTGTACAGAGCCTGGATGATGGGAAACCAGAGACGGTCCAGAAGGCCCCTCAGAAAGCTCCTCTCAGACAGGAGACCAACAGTCTGTTCTCTCTCCCTGTACAGAGTCTGGATGATGGGAAACCAGAGACGGTCCAGAAGGCCCCTCAGAAAGCTCCTCTCAGACAGGAGACCAACATGGCTAGCTTCTGCAACCGCTTCTCCATATACAACATCAACGGTATTAATACAGCCTACATAATATAGCTGCAAGCAGCCATGGCCTGGTTCAAACTATGGCCCCATAGCGCCACCATCAGGCAGCCATGGCGTGGTTCAAACTATGGCCCCATAGCGCCACCATCAGGCAGCCATGGCGTGGTTCAAACTATGGCCCCATAGCGCCACCATCAGGCAGCCATGGCGTGGTTCATACTATGGCCCCATAGCGCCACCATCAGGGCATATTGGGCTCTCCCTAAAGCAGGGCTCGGTAACCTTTATCACTGGAAGATACACTACCAGTCAAAAGTTTGGACACACCTACTCATTCAAGGGTTTTTCTTTATTTTTAAAAAAATTTTACATTGTAGAATAATAGTGAAGACATCAACACTATGAAATAACCCATTTGGAATCATGTAGTAACCAAAAAAAGTATTAAACAAATCAAAATATATTTTATATTTGAGATTCTTCAAATAGCCACCCTTTGCCTTGATGACAGCTTTGCGCACACTTGGCATTCTCTCAAACAGCTTCATGAGGAATGCTTTTCCAACAGTCTTGAAAGAGTTCCCACATATCCTGAGCACTTGTTGGCTGCTTTTCCTTCACTCTGCGGTCCGACTCATCCCCAAACCATCTCAATTCGGTTGAGGTCAGGTGATTGTGGAGGCCAGGTCATCTGATGCAGCACTCCATCACTCTCCTTCTTGGTCAAATAGCCCTTACACAGCCTGGAGGTGTGTTGGGTCATTGTCCTGTTGAAAAACAAATGATAGTCCCACTAAGCCCAAACCAGATGGGATGGCGGTTCTTTGTTTCTTTACTTTACTTTTATAAATGAGAAATTAGCACATTCAGACAGGCCTCCATTCAGACAGGCCTCCATTCAGACAGGCCTCCATTCAGACAGGCCTCCATTCAGACAGGCCGCCATTCAGACAGGCCTCCATTCAGACAGGCCTAGTCTGCAAACTTGAAGCAACAGAAACTTAACCTGCAGCAGGTAATGTTTTGGTACATGTCAAGAACAGAATAAAAGTACGAAGGTTTTATTGTCCTGTAGATTGTAATTGTCCCAATATTTCCAAACCTATCTGCGGTCCTTCAGCACCTCTGGCCTGGAAAGCGACTATATTGTTTTGGAGAAGGTGGTCATATCTCCTGTTTTGATTACAATGGCCTCACTGTTTAGCTGCTCTTGGTATGAGGCTATAATCACAAGGTTTTCTGGGTCGCCTTCCTTTTTTCCCCTTTCACACAATCCCCCCTCGGTGAGCCTTTAAAACAGCTAAATACACACTGGTATTATGAACAGATTTTCTTACAAATTAAATGAATGAATAAATAAATAGCATAACTTACCAGTTCTGTGTGATTTCTGCTGCTGTGCCTCTGAGCAGGTCTTAACGATATTAGGGCAGTAGGATGACAGGACTGTCTTCCGGCAGTAGGATGACAGGACTGTCTTCGGTCAGTCAGACGGCAGTGATGAAGTTCCTGCTTGAAAACACCTGCTCGCACAGTTAAGTTGACCAGAACGATTGAGATGATGCCAAATGCATTTCTCTTCATGTTGCCATAGCTGTCGGGAAAGCCATTCCACATGTCAAATACAAGCTGGTCTTGTTTCTGAAGGTCTTGGATTTCTTTCCATTTGTGATTTTGAGTCAGAGTGTCCGTGCGAGACTTTCCAGGTACGTTCTCAGGCCTTTGAATTTTTACACCCGTATGTTCTTGTCCAGTTCCAGTTCTAGCCGTGGTTGGCTCACTCCCTGGAGTCCGTCAACATCACGGGTTGACACAAGGAATGATAGTCAAATCGTGCAGCAAATTATTGTTGGATTGTCAGAATGGAAACTTGCAGATTTGCGGTGTCAAATCGCAGTTGTTCTGCTGTGTGAATTATTTCAGGGATGGGAGACCAGGCGCCTGTCTCCAGAAGGGCAGTGGGTTTAACCCTTTTACCATTATTTAGTTTACCAACAAAATTGGACAACAAGGTTCAACACTTCCATCAACTCTGGCAGAAAATGTTTGTGTGCCTCTTGATGGATGATGCAATGAAACGTCATCAGCTTTTGATCCGACCATCTATGTAGGAAGCTCCTCTCCTCCTCCCCCCTTCTGTTGCCACAGACACCAGGTGGCTGGTTTTGATTTATTTGGCCTTTTAAACAGCCGAATCACAAACCACCTCTCCCTGTGTTTGTCCTTTCAGCAGTAATAACTCAACAAGTTCCTCTTGCGGACCCTCAGAGTTCCTGCAGAGCCGTGCTGTCTGTGCTATGTCATCAACATCACACGATAGAATAGGCTGCATTTATGTCCTTAATCTGCTGACTGCTAATGTCTCTTGCCATTTTCAGGGTCCTGTCCTTGACATTATTTGCAGAAGATCTTACATGTTCTGAAACTATTTCGTTTTTTGAAATGGGAATACAGCGTCTCGGATACTTTTATAAAGGAATATTTCAAGTACTCACCGTCTGTGAACCAGGGGTTGGAACCGGTTCAGGGAACGGAACCGGAAAATAACATTTTTAGAGGAACAGAATCAGAACCACCAACGAAAGTGGATCTATACTCTTCCGTTATTTTGAAAGCATGGGAACCGGTAAATTTTTTTTAATAATAATCTACGTTCTGGACATTTTTTTTCCCTACAATTTTTTTTCTGTCATTGAAACGTATTCCGGTGTCTGCCGGCCGGCCAGCTGAACCAATCCGCACTGATTGGTGAAGTCATTTAACGTCGAGCTAAATGTAAAATCAAGTAGATTTGAGGTTTAAAAAGGAACAGAAAGAAACGATGTAAACCGTAAAAAATAAATTTGGGGTTCAGAACGAAACAATCGATAAATAATTTCAGATCCAAACCCCTGTTGTGAATGACTTTACACATTCCACGAAGCTAGCAGCAGTGTTTGTATTTTACCATTTGATCCATTTTGAGAAGGTACCTCTGCTCTGTGCTTCAGCTCAGCAATGGCTCTCTTTCTGGCATCTCCAGGTGGATACTTTTCAGCAAATATAGTGTGTTGCTTTTGAAAATGTCTGTCGACATTGGATTTCTTGTTGTTGGCTAATTTCTCACTGCATATTAAGCAGTTGGCTATAAATGCATAAGATTCAGTCCATTCATCATTGAATTCTGTGTGTTCATCCTCAACTTTTCCATTTTTGGGGGCCATTTCTATACTATTTTCGTTGTTATGTCACCCTTAGGTCCTTTCATTGTAGGCTGCAGGGATGGTAACAGCCAAGCTAACTAGCAAAACCAGCACACACCACTTTCCCCGCCACTGATCCAAATCGACTTCTTGTGTTTCCGGCACACTGGATGCTATATTGCGTATTGCTGCCTTTTGCAGGCCGGAGTGAGAATTGCACACGTACAGTGCCTTCAGAAAGTATTCACACCCCTTGACGTTTGCCACATTTAGTTGTTACAGCCTAAATTTAAAATGGATTAAATTGCGATTTTGTGTCACTGATCTACACACAAAACCCCATAATGTCAAAGTGGAATTTAGTTTTTAGGATTTAATACAAATTAATAGAAATTTAAAAGCTGAAATGTCAATAAGTATTCAACCCCTTTGTTATGGCAAGACTAAATAAGTTCAGGAGTAAAAATGTGACCCACTGCCTCGACCCGGTCTTATGTAGCAAAATTAGAAATTGTGTTTTTTACATTGGATAAAAGTAGACTCCGAGCTACAAAATGTTATATACACTGAGGAACAATGGGAAAGTAATTCTGCTTTGAAAGTTGATAAACTTGTAACCCCACTTTTGAGAAAATGGCCCTTGAACGTTTTGGTACACCTTCTGGAGAGCTCTTCTTTGTCTACACCCATTCGGCATCGTTCACACCCTCTTAAGCCTTAGGCCCACCCATCTCTTTACAATAAGGAACAACTCCAGGTAAAAAAAAACACTATCTAGTCCCTGACCTATATCCTAATCTGACTTTGAAAGTGTCCAGATAAAAATATTTTCTAAATATCATCTCAAGGATGATAATTGGAAAAAGGATGCAAAGGGTCTGAATACTTATGTAAATAAGGTATTTTTGTTTTTTGTATTTTTATAAATGTGCAGAACATTTCTAAAACCCTGTTTTCACTTTGTCATTGTGGGATATTGTGTGTAAATTGATGAGGACAAATGTTAATTTCATCAATTTTAGAATAAGGCTGGAACGTAACAAAATGTGGAAAAAGTGAAGGGGTGTGAATATTTTCCGAATGCACTGTTAAAGAGATGCCGCTACTACCTCCGATGAGCCGTCAAACAGGCAAAGCGTCAATACAGGATTAAGTTCGAATCCTACTTTGCCAGCTCTGAAGCTCGTCGGATGTGACAGGGCTTTCAAAGTATCACGGATTACAAAGGGAAACCCAGCCGATAGCTGCCCAGAGCCTACCAGACAAGCTAAATGACTCTCTTGAACGTGTTTCCTTGCAGGTAACCATGGTTAACAGAGGAAGAACAATGATTTCAAGCACCACCCTCCTTTTAAAGCTTCCAGTCTGTTATTCTAACTCAATCAGCATGACATAGTGATCTCCAGCCTTGTCCTCGTCAACACTCTCACCTGTGTTAACGAGAGAATCACTGACATGATGGCAGCTGGTCCTTTTGTGGCAGGGCTGAAATGCAGTGGAAATGTTTTTGGGGGATTAAGTTCATTTTCATGGCAAAGAGGGACTTTGCAATTAATTGCAATTAATCTGATCACTCTTCATGACATTCTGGAGTATATGCAAATTGCCGTCAACTGAGGCAGCAGACTTGGTGAAAATTAGTGTTTGTCATTCTCAAAACTTTTGACCATGACTGTACATATTTCAAGCAGACCACCATAGTCCCTGTACCCAAGAACGCTAAGGTAACCTGTCTAAATGACTGTCGACCCGTAGCACTCACATCTGTAGCCATGAAATGCTTTCAAAGGCTCACACAACTTGATACATGGCATTTATGGATCAATGTCTCACAACGCAATATTTTCCACGCTAGCAACTCAAACAATATGGTACTGACCAATAAACATTCAAGTGGGCGTGACCTGGCACATAAATGCATATAAATCAGACACAGATGTTCATTTTTTACACAATGGTGCTATATCGGCACATACAGTATTTATATATTTTGATCTGTTCGAGTCAGAATTGGAATTTGGCACACATGCTCAGGGATGTCAGTCTAGCTGACCTGTAGAGTATGGTTGTTTGCCAGCATGGTGGCGCTGTTGGACAGGAAAAACAATTAATGCAAGCTCATTGGCTTATAGCAGCCATATTGTTTGCGCTAGAGTCTTGGAAAAATATTTCATTTGAAGACATCCAAAGATTCTTCTGGAGAATAAGGCGTTTAAAGTAGTCAACATGGTTGAAAATGGTCCAAAATACATCAAAAGCGTATTGCATGATCTGTTTTGATTTTGAGTTCTGATATTTGGCAAGCGTCGTAAAGAATACAGAAGTAGCTCTTCAGGGAAATGTGTCCAATTTGTCCTGGTGGTGGTGCTATGGGGCCAAAGCTTGAACCCCGGCATTGCTTCTTGCAGCTATATTTGTTGTTTTTGTTGTTAATGTTGTTGTTAATGTTGTTGTTGTTGTTCTTCCAGAGGCTCTAAACCAGGGCGGAGACGGTGTAGATCTGGATTCCCTGATGGCAGACCTGTGTTCCATAGAGCAGGAGCTGAGCAAGCCCAATAGTGGCAAGAACAGGCTGGGTGTGCCAGGTGATGCTAAGCTGCGCCAGAAACCCCCCGCTGGCCGCAGCAGCAGCAGCACCAAGGTGCATGCTGGGAGCAGTGGAGGAGGCACCTCCAGCAGTGGGGGCAGCACCTCCAGCAGGTAAGCTATTGCTGAACTGTGGATATATTTATGTTTATGTTGAATATATCATTGATGTCACTGTTGTGTTGTGGTATTTATGTGATTATTTATTGATTATTTATCAATTTATCAAATATTTATTGATTTATCTCCTATCGGACTTTGTTTTTTCGTGTTGTCCGGGACAGTATGTATATTTATTTTGCTACTGCGTTTGACATGTCATTTCACCTCAGGGATGAATAAAGTACCCCTCTATCTATCCACCAGTACCCGGGCCTCACCAGCCTCCACGGTGGCAGCTCGCCACCGCCGCCCCATGGCCTCCAACCTGTCCCTGGATGATATCACGGCCCAGCTGGAGCAGGCTTCTCTCAGTATGGACGAGGCTGCCAGACAGAGCTCCCACTCCCTAGCTAGCGCCTCCACCTCTTCCTCCTCCTCCACCATGCGGAGGCCCGCCACCCACCACCACACCCACCGCAGGACGGGCTCCGTGGGGACGGTCAGCGAACACGCGGTCCGCTCCGTGTCCCACTCCTCCTGGTCGTCGGTGAACTCTGCGTCGGCCAGCAGCGTGGATTCTCTGGATAGTGTTCTCAGACCTTCGGAGCAGGACGGGGAAACACCCACGCCACAGGGGCCCAATCAGGGCCCCCCGGGCAGTACAGAGGTAGGCTACCTGCACACAGACACTAATACATCATGTACCGTTCAACCTTCACTGCATTCCTCTACAGCGATACAGACTGGACCAACTGGACCAACTGATCAACTGACAGAACCGGATTGAAGGACCATTAAATAAATATAACTAGTTTATCTCTTAACACTAGAACCGACTGCTCATTAATTTAATTTATTACATTGGCATTGTTTTATGTCATGCCCCCCTCCATCCTTGGCTTTTCCTAAATAAGTCTGTATAACACACTGTCAGTGTTAGAATCTTAATATCGCAAACAGAACTGGAGTTAGAACCTGTTTTAGGAGGGCATGACATTTTTGTCCTACTCCCTACTACAGGGCCTAGAGAGAGAGAGGGGGAGAGAGATAGACGCACAGAGAGAGAGAGGGGGAGAGAGAGAGACGCACAGAGAGACAGAGGGGGAGAGAGAGAGACGCACAGAGAGAGAGAGGGGGAGAGAGAGAGACGCACAGAGAGAGAGAGGGGGGGAGAGAGAGAGAGACGCACAGAGAGAGAGGGGGAGAGAGAGAGAGACGCACAGAGAGAGAGAGAGAGAGAGAGACGCACAGAGAGAGGGGGAGAGAGAGAGACGCACAGAGAGAGAGGGGGGAGAGAGAGGGGGAGAGAGAGACGCACAGAGAGAGAGAGACGCAGAGAGAGACACGCAGAGACACGCAGAGAGAGAGAGGGGAGAGAGAGACACGAGAGACAGACGGGGAGAGAGAGAGAGGAGAAACAGACACAGAGAGAGAGAGATATTGTTAGTGAAGGTGGAGAGAGAGAGAGAGAGGGGGATTATACATTTAGGTCATTTATCAGACGCTCTTATCCAGAGCGACTTACAGGAGCAATTAGGGTTAAGTGCCTTGCTTAAGGGCACATCGACAGATTTTTCACCTAGTCGGCTCGGGGATTAGAACCAGCGACCTTTCGGTTACTGGCACAACACTCTTACCCACTAAGCTACCTGCCGCGGGGAGGGAGGTAGGGGGGAGGGAGAGAGAGGTGGATGGTTTGTTAGTGAAGGTGGTTTGTTAGTGTAGGTTGAGAGAGACAGGGAGAGACAGGGAGAGAGAGGGGGATGGTTTGTTAGTGAAGGTGGAGAGAGAGAGGGAGGATGGTTTGTTAGTGAAGTTTGAGAGAGATGGTTTGTTAGTGAAGGTGGTTTGTTAGTGTAGGTTGAGAGAGACAGAGAGAGACAGGGAGAGAGAGGGGGATGGTTTGTTAGTGAAGGTGGAGAGAGAGAGGGAGGATGGTTTGTTAGTGAAGTTTGAGAGAGATGGTTTGTTAGTGAAGGTGGAGAGAGGGAGGGAGGGAGGGAGGGTGAAGGATGGTTTGTTAGTGAAGGTGGAGAGAGAGAGGGATGGTTTGTTAGTGAAGGTGGAGAGAGATGGTTTGTTAGTGTAGGTGGAGAGAGAGAGGGATGGTTTGTTAGTGAAGGTGGTGGGTTTGTTAGTGTAGTTGAGAGACGAGAGAGACAGGGAGAGGGAGTTGTTAGTGACGTGAGAGAGAGGGGTGGTTTGTTATGAGGTGGGAGAGGATGGTTTGTTAGTGAGGTGGAGAGAGAGGAGGGTGGGGTGAGGGATGGTTTGTTAGTGAGGTGGAGAGGAGAGAGGATGGTTTGTTAGTGAAGGTGGAGAGAGAGAGGGATGTTTGTTAGTGAAGGTGGAGAGAGGGATGGTTTGTTAGTGTAGGTGGAAGAGAGGAGAGAGGGATTGTTTGTAGGGAGGGAGAGAGGAGAGAGAGAGGGGGATGGTTTGTTAGTGAAGGTGGAGAGAGGGATGGTTTGTTAGTGAAGGTGGAGAGAGGGAGGAGGAGGAGAGGGAGGTTTGTAGTGTAGGTGGAGAGAGGGAGAGAGAGGGGAGGTTGTAGTGAGAGGAGGGATGGTGTTAGGTTAGGTTAGGAGAGGGGAGAGAGGGGGGAGGGAGGGAGAGGAGATGGTGTTATGAAGGTGAGAGAGAGATGGTTTGTTAGTGAGGTGAGAGAGAGGAGTTGAGTAGGGAGGGGAGAGAGGGAGAGAGAGGAGGGATGGTTTGTTAGTGAAGTGGAGAGAGAGAGGGAGGAGAGAGAGGGGGGGGAGAGAGAGAGGGATGGTTTGTTAGTGAAGGTGGGAGAGGAGAGATGGTTTGTTAGTGAAGGTGTGAGAGAGAGAGATGGTTTGTTAGTAGTGAGGAGTGGTGAGGAAGGGAGGAGAGGAGAGGAGAGGGATGGTTTGTTAGTGAAGTGGAGAGAGAGAGGAGAGAGAGAGAGGGGGGGGACAGAGAGAGGGATGGTTTGTAAAGTGTCGGTGAGAAGGGGAGGAGAGAGATGGTTGAGTAGTGAGGTGGAGAGAGAGACAATGCGTTTTGTAGATTAGGAACGGTGACTGAGCGATGGTTTGTTAGTGAAGGGAGAGAGAGGAGGAGAGAGACGAGACAGAGGATAGGAGAGAGAGAGAGAGCGAGAGCACTGAGAGGAGAGACCGGTGAGAACTGATTACTGAGGGAGGATGAAGACAGATTGTTTGCAGATTACTAGACAGGTAGGGAGGTCACAGACAAGTTAGATTGCTTTGGCGGATGAGGGAAAGGATGTATCCATCGGGCACAATTAGATATTAGCACCTACCTTGACTAGAGGGTATGGTTTACTGTAGTGCATATTGGATAGGTGCTATTTGGACCAAGAGTAAGAGCATGCGTAATGGTTTAAAGTGTTTGCTGAGTGGGCCTTGCTCAGATGTATCTGTTTATTCTCATTTTGAACAACATTAGTTTGTTCGTATAGATATGGGCCAGGTTGATTGGACCAGGATAGCAGTATTGCTCATTTTCAACATAAGTTTAATTCACAGGTGAGGGTCCCAGATAGAGCCATGGGCCTGGTCAACAGTAGTGCACTAGTAGGGAATAGGGTGCCATTCTCTGGTCAACCAAAGGGTAGGTGACTGCTAAA